CGAAACGCTACTTTGGTTATCGAGATCTGATTTTTTTAACGAGGCGCAGCCGAGTTAAAAAAATAGTCGAGATTACCAAAGTATTTCGCGCCCGAGTTGCAAACAATATTTTTTCTACAACTGCATTTAAATATCGATCATTCGAAGGCAAAATTGCATTTTCACTCAAAGGTAGGTGAATTTTAATTATTTTTGGTTTCCTGACAGGTATGTGTCACCATGACATATCAGTGAGCGAACTAGCTATTTCGCGCACACGTGCGCGAAATAGCTAGTTCGCGCATGGCGTCATGGGAACGTTAAAAAATCAATACCTGGGAAAAAAAGTCTCACTTCGCAAACTGTCATGAGTGTGCGAACATCATCATTTTTTGACAGTTGTAGAAAAAATATATAATTTATGCAAATACAAGTGGAGAAACATTTAAAAAATCAAAAAATAAAGAGATTTCCTTGGGGTGGAATAAATGTGTCATAAGAGAAGCCTTTGATATTATGTTTTGCCATAGATTTTGTCAATATATAGATAGATAGATAAGTCAATATATGGTTATATTATATAACCATAGAGAGAAAAACTGCGAGAACCACCTTATTTGTTTATACTGCAGTGGACAGCATAAATATTGGGACTGTAAATCTCGATTTGCAAGTTGCTTTGACTGTAGGGAGAGTAACCGAATATATAATACACAGCATGATTCTAGACATTAAGCAAACACTGATAAGTGCCCTATTTAGCAACATAAAAAAAAATTGAAGGAAAAATTGACTATAACTACTACTTATGGACAACAAAATCAAAATAATTTATTTAAATGCAAGATCGATGAAAAATAAAATGGAGGAAATTGAAATGTTATTGGAACAAGAAAAAATTCATGTACTTATTGTGGCAGAGACTTGGGTAAAAAAACAAGAAATAAAATATTATAACTTCAAAAATTATGAAAATCATTACTATATGCAACACGAAATAAAAAAGGAGGAGGTATGGGCATATTTATTATTAAAAATATACCCTGCAAAATCAGGGTCACTTTATCCGTTAGGACACCTATTTCGTGTCCTACGGGCCACTAGAGGATGGAAGGCCAACTGCTGGCCTTTAATTTATAATATAAAATATAAAAGTTCAGAGCCAACCCCCAGAAAATTATTAGAAATGATTCGAAAAAAAAAAATAGATTCAATATTTCCCAATATTGAAAATGCTCTGAGACTCTACCTTACTCTACCGGCATCCAATGCCAGCCCAGAGCGTTCTTTCAGCGTTTTGAAAGGAATCAAAAACTACTCTAGAAATAGGTTGATGGAGAAGAAACTTTCATATTTATCTTTATTATGTATCAATTCCGACTTAACGCTACAAATCGACTTTGATGATGTCATTGATAAGTTCTCTAGCCTAAAAGCGAGAAAAGTAGCGCTTTAGTTGCAAACATAGTTTTTTCATTTTGTTGGTTTTTTAGTTTTTTTACATATGCACGCCTGGCAAGTGAACATCTTACATACCAATTTTAATGCAATAGAATGAAATGTTTAGAAAAAGTCTAAAATTGAATAGAGAACAAAAACGATTTCCCCTGTTCCACCTCCAGCAAAAAGCCCTGGGAACGCTGGAGGTGGAACAAGGGAAATCGTTTCCAATCTCCATTCAACCTTAGACTTTCTGTAGACATTTCATTCTATCCCATTAAAATTGGTATGCAAGATCTTTACTTGCCAGGCGTGTATGTAGGTATGTATTATGTATAATAAAAGCTATAAAATATTTTTTAGTGGTTTTTTTAGTAGTTTGAAATCGTCTGAATGTTTTTATTTAACCCTATAAAAAAGAACAATCACTCATGAAAGGCCATACCAAACGGGCCAGAGAAAGGTTAAAGCGTCACTGTTCAAAATTCTAGAAGTGTCAGAAACTCCATATTCGTATATTTGCATTGAAATCAAATCCCTAAAACTTGTTTTTTGTGGTGTACAAACCACCTAGATTAAATGAGATTAATTTTTTTAAATTTGTGGATGAAAAACTTGAAATTATGAGAAAAAAATAACCAAGAATGTTTCTTTATGGGTGATATGAACATTGATATTCTTAACAAAACATTTGGTAACAATAGAATTTCGGATATTTATCAGTCAAATAATTTTCGAATAGGTATGTAATTCCAAGAGTCCAACAAGAAAAACGGATGAATCTAAAACTCTTATTGATCATATAATTACAAATTCCAGTAAAAAAATCAACCTTAAATTGCTTGAAACACCTCTCAGTGATCGTTTATTACATACTTTGGAGATATTTGATCAGAACGGAAACCAAACAGAAAAATTTGAAGAAATTGTTTTTATGAAGTAGAATATAAAGTTTTTTTTTTTAAAGATAATTCCCCAAGTCAGACATTTAGTAACTATGTTGGCAACACAAGCCTTTTCTGCATAAAAAATTTGAAAGCTTGACAATTTTACATTGTATTGCCGCAACATAATGTCATTTTGACTTTTATCTTAAAAAAAAACACACTTTACAAAAGTTAAAAATGAAAATAAACAACCTTAAATTAATAAAACATTTATTTAAAGAGCCAGATCACTTGTATGATACCATTACGCATATTTTTGATATGTGCTGTTACAAGAAAATGCTGAGAATAAAGAAAAACAGTGACTTCTGGTTTAATGAAGAACTTTTTCACTTACTGAAAACAAGAAACAGACATTATGGTAAAATGAAAAAATAATATAACCAAGAAAACACAAGAAATTACAGAATCTGTTAAGAAAAAAATTAAACAAACAAAAAGAAATTATTTTAATGAAAAATTTCAAATTTCTAATCAAAAAGAAATCTGGGAAACAATTAATACAATATTAACGAATAAGAACAAAAAAACAAGATCCACAAGACGTCGCCCTAGTTGTGAATGGTCGTAATCCACAAAATGTTCATTCTTGAGTTGTGACTGTTAACCTCTCTGTTAACATACTTAAAAATGTTTAAATTTCATGTTGTTGAATAGATCTAAGCCACTGATCAATATTTGACCTTGTTATAGTATATTTGCTAATTAAAAAGAATGTTTTCACCAAAAACAAAAATTTTAAATGTAGTTTACTCACAACTTACCTTGAGTGGATTACGACCATTCACAACTAGGGCGACGAAGAGTTACTTGTTGGACGTCAAGGATATTTCGAAAAAATTTAATCTGTGAAGAAATAAACAATTTTTTTGTTGAAATCGGAGCATTATTATCCGAAAAAATTGAAGAAATATTACTAGGTACCAGAAAACATACCTGATGAAACATTAATGAAAAATTCTATGGTTCTAGATGGAAATGATATACAAGAAGGCGAAATTGATGAAATATTATCAAATTTGAATGTAAGGAAAGCTAGTGGTTACGACGAGATTTCTATTAAAACTGTCAAATCCGTAAAAAACGAATTCATTCCTACTTTAAAACAATTATTTTTTTCGTCTATACAAACAAGTACCTAAATTTCCGAAAAAATGAAAATAGCAAAAATAACACCAATTTTTAAGGAAGGCAGTTCAGACAATCCAAGTCACTATAGGCCTGTCTCAGTTTTACCAATTTTGTCAAAACTTTTTGAAAGAATTATGCATAGAAAATCGCAAGATTTTCTCAATAGAAATAATGTACTGTATGAAGATCAATATGGTTTTCGGGAATCTAGAGATGCAGAAACAGCAGCATTAGATGTAATAACTGACATTCAACTAAAAGTTAACCAAAACAACAAATGCTGTATATTATCTCTAGATTTATGAAAAGCATTTGACATTGTCAATCACAGTATATTATTAAAAAAATTATATACTTATAGAATTAGGGGTATTTTATTTAAATGGTTCAAAAACTATTTAGAAAATATTAGAAGAAATTGAATTTTTGTTTGTGATTCTCTTGCAAAATTGTCGTGTTTGTTTTTTAAAATTTAAAAAATGTTAAATTTAAATTTAATATTTTGCAAGTTTTAATAAAACTGTGAAGAAATCGTTTGAGAGAACGATGACGATCAAAGCTGGAACGCATTTGATTATACCTATGCATAGTGCATTTTGGTGCCTTTATCAGAATGAAAACTACATCATACGTTGATATGAGCTTTGGGAAAATTCGGAAGGAAATTTTGAAAATAAATAAATCCAAATGTCGTCATGAACATCTGAATAAATATGTCTTTGTTTGTCTATAAGGAATGAAAGCATAAATATTTGGCTATAAGGAAAAGCGATACAGATTGTTTGAGGAAGGTTTTATGATTTTATTTTGCACACTGATATATGAACGTATTTATTTTATCCATGAAACAAATAATCCAGTTAGTCCTATTTGAAAAAATCAATGACAAAAAGCGGGTTCGTTGATGCAACAAAATTTGTCAAAAACTCTAAAAAGTTATTCGATTCAGAAGCGTTTTGCGCTTACCACGTCCATTTGTATTCAGGAAAGTTTGATCCATAAAAATGATGGGATATTTTTGCAGCAATTTTTATTTTCTTGGAAACTATTAAACTTGGATGTTACCCTTGATATTGTTTTATACGATAGTTTTCATGACTTTCCGTTGAACCTCCTTAAAATAAAATTTTATGCGGTATTTTTATAATATTTCATGTCAAAATTATGAAGCATATTCAAGCCTCGTTCATATTTTTATATCATCTTCACATGGTTCATTATTTAGGATGTTAGCCGGAAATATTTTCTGATTAGAGCATGACCCGAAGAAAAAAAAAGTCAAATTAGGGACAAATCTTAGAAAGATAAAAGGGCGGCAAACCGAGAGTTTGTTTTATGGAGCACACTCTAAAGTTAATGTAAAAAACTTTCAGTGAAGGAAGTTTTCCTGGTTTTATTTGAAAACTTTAAGATGTCTTCAATTCACTCACAACTTGTTAAACGCATGAAATTTTCTCGTTCTTTATATTTTAGAGAAATTCTAATTTTTTTGTTACGTTTCAGTCTCACTTGTTTTTCGTGATGGAATATTTAAATGGGGGAGACCTTATGTTCCACATTCAAGCCGAACGACGCTTTTCAGAGGCTAGAGCCAGGTTTTATGGTGCAGAAATAGTTTCAGGACTGAAGTTTTTGCACAATAAAGGCATTGTCTATAGGTAAGTTTACAGACTATTGTTTTTCGAATTTTACTGAAGCAAAACGTCATCGTTTTCTAGACTTACAAGGGACACAACGACGATATTATTAATTCGTGTCATATAAACTCCGGCCGCTTTGCTACATAAATCAAAACATAAAACTTTTACATTATCTAAAAATATTAAATTTTTGTCATGCAAAGCACCATTAAGTTCAAATTACGAAACAAGGAAGACATTTTTTTTTTCGGAAAAACATGTTTTTCATTTATTATTTTTAGCTACATTAAGAAACTTCGTGAACTGGTTGGCATAATATTCAAGAATCCATTTTCCAGAGCAGCTGTAAGCGATACGGTGACAATAAGAACCAATTATTTCAATAAAGACGCGTAATTAAGTCTTAATTACTGAAACAGTTTCGTAAAATTAAATGTCTTAAGTATACAGCCGCTCGACTTAGTGGAGAACAAATAAAGCCGAAACAATTCGAAATGCGATTTCGCGAAAGTGGTGGAAAATGTTTATTCACCGTACCTTTCGTTTCGGTAAACGCAAAACAAACATAACTATTTGAGATTATTCGATTATCTTTCGGTCCTCAAAGTTCTACAGTTTCTTCGTATTCCCCGGAATTTGTCAACAGAGAAACTGCTTGTAACTTTGACAAATTGGCAATAATGATTTAATGAGGTTTCGACTTCGTGGACGACTAGTTCTTAAGAATTTTAGGAAGTTTTTTGACGAAAGTGTAAAAGCCTGAACGAATAGCTTTATCGATTGTTGAGTTTAATCCATCGGGACTTTGGGCCTTTGAATCATAAGCATATTAATTATATTGGAACTACGAGAGGCTTGCACCTTAAGAGGAATAGAGGAATAAAAATTAATATGTGTAAATTCATGTATCGGAATTTAGGAGGATGCTCATAACACTTGGTAGTTTGTTGTTTGTGGTTTGTAGGTTGGGTTAGTACACCCGGGAAGTTTGGTAACTGGAGAGTAAGAAACACTGTTGGATTAATACTGATTTTTATTGAACAACTAGCTGACCCGGCGAACTTCGTACCGCCTCTAAATTATTAAATACCTATTAAATGTTGTGTTAACGTATCTAGTAGCTGAATTAAATTCAGGTCAAACCAGAGTCGCTTGCCAGCGACCTCAGTGACGCATTTTAAGCACTCCAGAGCTGCTCTAGAGCGCCCCGGGCTGTTTATATATTCCAGTGTATCAGAGTTTCGCGCAACCGAACTTTTTTTTCCGGGATAAAAAATAGCCTATATCACTTTCCTCTATAGCCGAATTCGATTGGCGGGATTAGATCGATCAGTTTCAATTTAAGTGAACCACACTGTGTTCGATTGAGGCTGGATCAGTGCACCCTCATCAACAAAAAAATGATCTAGATTAGAAGAAGTTCACTTAAATTGAACCCAAATCGATCTAATCTGGGTCAATCGAATTCGCAGCTTATATAGAGATACGTGGTATTAAATTCAAGATCGGTCCAGCCGTTCTCGAATTCAAAAAATAATAAAGTTACGTCGGTTGAATGCGCAAGCCTGAATAAATGAAATATGGCAACGTTGTTTCATGTTGTCAAAAAAAGTTGGGTTATGTTGTTATACAGTGTCAATACTTAAGTGTGCAACATATGGGTTTTTTTTTTAGTAATAGCACAATCAAAATACAAACAAGTCCAAAAGTTGGTGCATGTCTGATAATCATATTAGGTGCACTTAGAATGGTTGCAAGTCAAACAGCATACAGGGTAGCTCAAAAAATATCAAAATTGTAGTGATATTTACTTAAATAAAATAAAACTTTTGCACTTTAAGGAGCGTTTTTTTAATATGGCTATTATCATTAATAATGTTTTATCTTGTTAAAAAAAAAATTGGGACATTTTAGAGTTGTGTTGAATATCATTGCAACAAACATGAATTTTGTGACTCCATAAAAAATTAAAAATCTAAGTTAATTTTACAAATACGCTTGAATTTGAACAAAGTTATGTAAAATTAATTTGATTTTAATTAATTTTTGAAAGTATCAAGGGCGGAAATAAAAAATAAAAAAAATATAGAAATTATAGATTTTTTTTCGAAAAAAAAATTAAAAAAATCTTAGGGGGCTATGTTTTGGTATTTAGGCATAACTTTTAATTCCAAACAACTTTTCTCTATAACATTTTGCTGAATTTTCTGAAATAAGGGTACTTTACAGTACCAGCTTTGATATTGTTTGAGCTACCCTGTATGCTGTTTGACTTGCAACCATTCTAAGTGCACCTAATATGATTATCAGACATGCACCAACTTTTGGCCTTGTTTGTATTTTGATTGTGCTATTACTAAAAAAAATCCCCATATGTTGCACACTTAAAAAATCACACTGTATAATGTGAATGAGTTTGTTTATAATTAAATTATCAATTAATATAGCATGATACGTAGTTACGTAGTGAGGCACATACGACGAGTCACAGTCCCTAAAGTTTATATTTTCTGAGGCACTAACTACGACTCTCATGGCAGTGTACGTGAATTAATTTATTTTTCCGAAATGCGTAACCTATCCACAAACCTTCCTTAGGATGGCCATAACAACCTACCAAAGTTTCATTGTAATCAGATAAGTGGTGTAGGAACGCATAAGGCACAAACAAACAAACATTGATTTTCATATATATTGATCAGAAAGCGATCCGAGACGGATTCATGTGTTCAACTTGAGCAATGAACGCTCTCAAATCATGGCAGCAAATATCTAGGTAAGTTCCCTAAAATTTTGTAGAGGGCGCGAGTGAACTTGGTGTGCTCTGAATTTTTGCGGTAAATGTCAATAGTTTAAAACTGTTTTAATAAGCAGAAGGAAAGATGACTACATATGAACAATGAACAGTGAATAAGTAACTTTTGAAAATATTCTCTAAGGACCACTGAACGTTTTGGAAGATATTTTCTTCTAAAATGTTCAGTGATCCTTAAAGAATATTTTCAAAAGTGTCAGCATCAGCTTTTCTTGAAACCACACATCAAACTTGCCTTTTGAGGTTAAAATTACATTCGATTATTCACGCGTCAAAATTTAAAAATCTCCAAGTACAGAAGCGCCCTCTTCAACTCAACTGTCAATATTACATGCCATTGATCGATTAAAACAAAACAATTAAATTACATTCGGCTATTGATTTCAAATAGGGTGCCCTCGCTTGGATCATAATCGCTCTTGGAGCACTTCCGCAGAGATCTGTAACGTCACCGCCCAAATAGAGAGCGCTCTGGGAGCAGTAAAGCCGAAAATGCTATAAAATAATACTGTTACGTCGAATGTTGAATACGCATACAATAATAAGGTGGGTTATGTAGTGGTGAGAAGCAAAAAAAAAAATTAAAAATTTTGGTGTGGACCACCCTTATCACTTAGGGGTATAAAAAATAGTTTAAAACCTATTCTCAGATGTACCGAATATACATATAAAATTTCAAAAAAAGCAAACGGTTCCTGATAGCAACCATTTATTTGTATTGATTGTTAAGATGTTCAAATCGTTTAATACATATTTATTTCCATATTTTTTGCATTCTCATACGTGAAATAATCCTCTAAATACCACTTGAGCTTTAAAATGAACCAGATAATTTTTCACTCATGCGTGTTTTCTCTGCAAATTTCACTCGTCCTACGGACTCGTGAAATTATAGAAAACACGCAATCGTGAAAAATTATCGGTAATTTTGAAGCTCTCGTGGTATTATCCCCGATTATCAACTATTTTTATACAAAAAAATGCAACTTTGACTGTTGTTGTGTGCTCCACATCGAAAGATTTGGTAATTAAACTTTTGATGACGCTGCGTCTGATATAGATCGTAGTATTGCCTATGTTTCCTGGTGACCTACTGGCGGTGCGTTGGTGTCGATGACCTAGGAGTACTACCTGGACGCTAATAATTAATTAATTTTTGTAATGATTTTGATAGATATAATTTAGGGCTTTTCTATGACTAAATTTTAAATTTAGACATTGCTGTCATGGGGCAATACTGGTTCGAGGACAATAGCTTCGGTGGGTGGCTGGGCAGCTCTAATTGTATTTGATAGAATGTCTGCCGCATCTCTGTTTCTTCTTATATTGGAGCCGTTATTCTGTCGTCCTTTGTAGAACCTGAATAGCGCTATAATTATTATAGTTACTAATGTAACACTGATGCTCGTGACTAGGAGATGAGGCAAATTGAAGCTATTTCTATAATAGCTGTTTGATTTAGTGCCACATCGTTCCAGGTTCTATCGCAAATAATGGTTATTTTAGTTTTTTTCAGGCGTAATTGCTAACCATGAGTTTGGAGTGTGTAGCTGCTTCCATATTATTGATGCGATGGATTGCTGTAGGATTTTGCACGAAGTATTGTCTTTTCTTTGATATATTTGGTCTATCATGCAATTAGGACTTGTCTCTATGCCTCTTGTGCCGGGCTAGGCAGTGTAGTGGTTAGTGTATCTGCTTCGCATGCTGCGGGTCCCGGCTTCGACTACCGTCTTCTTAATGGTTGTTTGTTTGTTTAACCGGCTCGCTGGCTTCGCGAGAGGATGTGGAAGGACTTTCTCAGGCATGCGTGAAGTCGGTGGAGTCTGAATGGCCGACCATGGATTGCGAATCGGACCATCTTAGGGTGGGGGATGCATGATAGGGCCGACCTTTTAGACTCTAGCATGAATGGGAAGGATCCAGTATGACTCCTTTTCTGTTTTTGATGGATCTGATTAGCATAAATTCGTTGTGTTCTATCAACACAAAATATCCATGGGCGTGGATAAATTTCTCACTGTGTTCCACTTTGGTCTGGAGCACAGGATAAGATATTATCTCGATACTGGACGGAATCTTTTTTGATGCAGATGCTATTATCTCTCCTACGTTGATCAAAGATATAGGATCATATAGGTGGTCTTTATGATAGTGAATATCCGACAATCGTCATAATAGTCCAGAAGTTCATCTATGTAAT